TTAGCAGATCCAAAGTTTTTAAACAGATTAGCCATAGAAGAATCAATATCAATAACCACTACTCTCCTTGCACAATACCAGAAACGAAAAGGAAAGTTCTTTGAAGAAATCGACTATGTGATGACAGATACAATCAGAGGAATAGTGGTTGATTTCTTTACAGTATGGCTTCCAGCTCCTACACTATCATTTCTTTCATTTGCTGATGATGATGATGCTAGTGGGCCGGATGCACTATTGGGCCTACTTGGGTCCATACCGGATAATGCATTTCAAAAAACACTTGCTGGGAAAGACTGGAATGTGGGGCATAGAGTTGCTTCGGTGGTTGTTGGTGGTGTTAAGCTTGCTGGTGTTGGATTTGTTTCAAGTATTGGAGCTGTTGCTGCTTCAAATGTGTTGTACACTGTACGCAAGTTTCTAAATCCACAACTTTTGAATGATCAACAGACTAAAAGATCTCCAATTTTGAAAACAGCAGTTGTTTACAGTGGGTTCCTTGGGACTTCAGCTAATCTCCGGTATCAGGTATTCCATTCCGGTCTTTTTCGATTCCAATTTAGATTTGAATTTGATTCCTCTTTGTTTATGTCAGTCACTTAGTGGGCTACCTGATTTATTATGCAGATTATTGCTGGATTGGTGGAGCATCGAATCTCGGATATGTTTGCTGACCAAACTTTATTTGTAAATTTGTTATCTTTTGTGACACGGACGATTAATTCCTACTGGGGAACTCAGGTTACAATAAAATATATATTATTATTATTTTTTAATTATTCGATTGTGGATTAATTTTTTTTTTTACAAAGGTTTTAAATCTTTTTTTGCAGCAATGGATAGATCTTGCGAGGTTTACAGGACTACAGGCTCAAAAGAAGAGTGAAACATCGTTATTAAGCCAAAGCCAAACAACGGAATCTGCAAATCCTGCGGAATTGAACCAAACAGTAGAATGTGTGAATCCTGCAGCATTAGGTTGCAACACTACAGAGGAATCTGGTATTGATGAGACCAAAAGTCAGTGAGATTGATGAGGGCATATTCTGTAAGGAATGGCTTTCTGTTTTCCTTTTAATGATTATAATGTTAAAATATGAATTTGGGTATATTGGATACAACACAAGGTGAAAGGTAGATTAGAGGCTGAAAATGCTCTTTTTTTTTTTTTTTTTTTTTTTTTTTAACTTGTTTAGGTATATATAATCCTTGGCTTTGTAAAGGAAAAAATTTTGATCGACTAACTGTTTATAAATTGGTTACTAGAATTTTACTCGTTTGTAGGTGGTAGGTGATAAACTCGTTGATTCAAGTAGTTTTATTTTTCAAAGAGCACAATGTAACATCAATTCGATCACTTTATGTGTTGTCTAATTAATCAGATTTGACGTTAACCGGTTATCATAAAATAGAACAACTTTTAATCAAGTTAACGAAAATACTCTTCCACATCAGAGACTATCCATAATAGGTGACTAACATTTTAAACTAACTGAGGTGGTTCAGTATTAACAAACTAACTAGCAGCTGACTATTTACATAATTTCCCTTTGTATCCAAATAACTTCATAACGATTTAAAAGGAAATCCATTGGACTTGATAGAACAGTGTGTACTATCAGTTTATCACTATGTTTAAAAATTAAAAGGAAACCACCTTATTGAATTTAAAGAGGTGTTAAAGTAACTCGATAGAAAAACTCTATACGTCATGGAGGTGACAAAACGAGTGAAACAAGAAATAAGTAAAAATAATTTCGAGTATAAACGAGTAATTTTATATATAGTGACTGAAAACTGAAAAGTCTTTTGGTCTATATATTTATATTTATAATTTATATATAGTGCGAGTGTGTGTTAATTATGCTTATAAAAAGACCATCATATTATTACATAATAATCTAATCCATTAATATATTTTGTCAACCCGTTTGATCCGTCTTTGTTGAAAAAAAAATATTGTTTCAAGTTTTTAAATGATAAAACATCACGACATAACGAATATAAAAGCCCATTTGTAGAGAAATTCATCAAAATTAAATTACAACATGTCTCTATATACTATTTACTATTTAATATTTATGGGCTGAAACTTGTAATTCTAGTCCCCTAATGGCAAAGACGTGCAAATCATGTAATAATATTAGTGAGAGCCGTGTTAAAATGTAGTTAGTTTCCAACACGGCCAGATAAGGCGACAAGCCCTGCCACGTCACTCACTGGTGATTGTCAAAGTCAATATTTCTATCAGCTTTACAAATCCCATCCAACGCTCAAAAATCGATCTTCCACTTTAATCTACACCGTTGATATAAATAGATAGTTTGCCACCTACAGTCATATATATATATATATATATATATATATATATATATATATATTTATAAGTAGCTACAAATCTTAATATCATCTCTTATTACCACCCTCTCTAGTCTGTACTCTGTAGTCCCTCCCTCAGGCTTCAACTGATGGGTAGTTCGACAAGAACATTGAAGATAGGAATTATAGGGTTTGGTACCTTCGCACAGTTCTTGGCAAAGACGATGATAAAACAAGGTCATCTTATAAGCGCGACATCAAGATCAGACTATTCTGGGTTTCCGGGCGTCCATTTCATTAGGTATGTATATGTATAATTCATCATAAATGTACAACCTTCTTATATCTTGATATTATCATTTGATTTGGGTTTGAAGGGACATGGAAGAATTCATGGGATTAGAGCATGATGTGATTCTGATATGCACTTCAATTGTATCTGTATTCCAAGTAGTGAAGTCTATCCCGTTTCATCGCCTTAAAAAACCACTTCTATTCGCCGACGTACTCTCCGTCAAAAGAACACCCAAGAAAACTCCTGTTACAGGTCTTACATTTCATTAATTAAAGTAATTCGTATTAATTATTACTTAATTGTATGATTAATTGTAATAATTTGGGTAAATTAAGGAAGTTCCTCAAGACTCGGATTTGGTGTGCACTCATCCTATGTTCGGACCAGAAAGTGGGAAAGACGGGTGGAAAGATTTGCCGTTTATGTATGAAAGAGTCCGAGTCAAGGATGAAACTCTGTGCTCCTCTTTTCTTGCCATTTTCGAGAATGAGGTAAACCATAAATCATAAATGCTAACAAATCCAATCAATATTTGCCCTTTTAACATTTTTTACAATAACATATTCAAATTCAGGGATGCAAAATGCTGGAAATGAGTTGTGAAGAACATGATAGACTAGCTGCCCAAAGTCAATTTCTTACACACACGATAGGCAGGTAGGTTAGATACACACACACGTATTAGAGCATTTATAACATACTTTTCACTAATTTCTAATGATGACGATGATATCTTGCTGTTTTAACTTGCAGGGTTTTATCGGAAATGGAAATTCGGAACACACCGATAGACACAAAGGGATTTGAGAAGCTGGTTCAAGTGGTATGTATACAATATATGTTCAACCTTGTTATATAAAATCGAGAATGTACAGAATAAAAATTAACAGGAGATTTGATTTGAGTTGCAGAAAGAAAGCAGTACGAGGGATAGTTTTGATCTGTATAGTGGGCTGTTCATACACAATAGGTTTGCCAAACAGCAGGTGAGTGTAAAATTAATGAATTTTATGGGATTAAAAATGGATTAATTTACAAGACTTAAAATATATATATATATGTAATTTATGGCACAGCTGCATAATTTAGAAAGTGCACTTGAGAGAGTGAAGGAGACGCTAGAAGCAGGGATGAGCAACAATTAGCAAGATGGACAAATGGTTGTTGGTTTCAAGAAAATAACATGAAAACTTCATTTGTATCATTTACAAGACTTTATTCATGAATCGTCTAATCTGGATCATCTCATAATTAATAATTGTTTCCAGTGAATTGTATCATTGTATATCGTGAAAGTAGATGGACTTTGTGTGCTGTTGACTTAATATTGCTGTTGTTAACTTAAACGCATTGCTTTTTTTTTTTTTTTTTTATAATTAGGTGTCTATTGAGTTGGTTTCAAAAAATGTCTGTTCTTAACAGTGGATGATTGATTGATACACACCAATAGTGGCCGATTGATACACAATGTAATACGAATGATAAAATATTCAATTGGTTCAATGTTGATAGACAAAAATGTTGAATAGGGAAGAAAGAGGACTTATCATCTATGTATCATGTTATTTTGGACAAAAATTGTCGAGACATATGGCAAAGGCAGAAACCGATAAAAAAAAATAAAAAATGGATAGTTTTTTTTTGCTTAAAGACCCTTTGTAGATAACATCAAAACAAACAGATTAATATGAAAATAAGGCAATAGTTACATGTACTTTTTCGAAAAAAAATCTAATTTGTTTAGATATAATTTAAATAATTAAACATATATGTAACATTAATTTTTCCATTTGGTTTAATCACATCCAGAATGAGTTTTTTAGAAGTCTTTTTAAAAAAAAAAAAAAAAAAAAACACATGGAAAGTGAAAAAAAGTATTTTTAGAGCCTTTGGAACAACTTTTTTAAAAATATTGCTAATTAACAATGTCTTCTATTGAATTTTTCCATTGATTTGGTGGGTTTCATAGGCTTTCAACCAACTATAAAATAGAGACAAAACTGCACTTGGTCCATGTGGTTCAACAAAGTTTGGACTAGCACCAGAGGTCCAAACTTTTCATTTTGTTGCGAGTTTGGTCAAGTTTGCATAATAGTACAAATGCATCTTGTGTAACGCCCGTGTTTCTAGGCTTGCCATTTTTAGCAATGTAATAATCTAGGTTAACCTTGTAACTCAACTTGAAATAATAAGAATGTATTATTTGTGAATTATTTGAATTATGTGATTTATGTGTGTATTTTCTTAATTTTTATAATTTAATGAATTAAGAATAAAATAAGCGTCAAAATTTAAGTGTGAGATAAGCCCGACATCTTTGCATAAAGTTGTAGTGGTCGAAACAAGGATTCCGGAGATATAAGGAATGCCAAAATCCGAATTATAACGAAGAAGTTATGACCTGTCGAAGTTTCGCGACAGAACCGACACGACGCCGAATGACGTAAAATATGAATTTAAGATAGAGCGATATTTAGCCTTAGCGATCTAAACGAAAGTCGTAGATTTCGTTAAACCGAGAGCGTGCATGAAAGGAACGCCCAAATCTGACTTCGTATGAGGAAGTTATGATTTTTCTAAGTTTCGACTTAGTAGTGTGCAGCCCGAATACTCGATTTGAGATCGAGCGGTTTTTAGCCGAAACAATCTAAATGAGAAACGAAGATCTCGTTGTTAGTAGCGAAACGATGACAAGTTAGGCGAGGATGGACGTCAGACGAAGAAGTTATGAATTTATAACGAAGTTTTTCTGTCCCGACCTTCTAAAAATAAATAATAAAAATAAAAGTCAAAATTAGCCGACGGAGTCTAAATGAAAGTTGTAGAGTATGGTCTGACCTTCGCGTGGATATAAAGAACGTCGAAAACGGAGCTCGTATGCGAAAGTTACGCAATTTAGAAGTTTGACAAGTCAATTACGCCCCGCGTAATTTGAGTACGCCCCGCGTAATTTGAGTACGCCCCGCGTACTCAGTCGGTTGCAACTTGTCTGACCAATACTCGAGTGCCACCAGTCGACGCACGCAGTGACGTCAAAGTACGCCCCGCGTAACCCGAGTACGCCCCGCGTAATGAGTACGCCCCGCGTAATTTGAGTACGCCCCGCGTAATCCCAGACCCAGCAGCCTATAAATAGAACTCGAATTCAGCCATTTTCTCTTGTTCAAACTCTTCCCTCTCTCTAAGTTTTGCCTCGATTTGCATGCCAATCATACCCCGAAGCCCCGGTAATATTCCCGAGCCCCGAAGCAAGATCCGAAGCCCCGAGGATCCCGAAGAGCGTTATTCCCGAGCCGAAACGCTGCCCGCGGAGCCCGGTTTTGTGAAGATCTTCCAGATCTACGGAGAAACACCTCTTCTGCAAGCTGTAGTGCTGCCCGATCATCTTCTGATCAAGTGAGTGTGTAGTTATTTTCATTCCAACGCAATATTATGAAGTATTTTCTATAAAATACGTGTTATGTGTATATATTTGGTTGTTATACGTGTGAGTGTATATTCACTCTCTTCTATCTTACAGATCTGATGTAT